TTGTCCCATGGTGCCTCGACACGACCCTCGCATGATCACCATCCGCATTAGGGGATCCCCAAGACTTCCGCACAGCTACTCAGACGGGCCAACCACAACTCCCGCCTCCATATCCACTCATTTTCTCACTGTATGCATTTTTTTTTATAAAATTTTCCCCTTAATCTTCAGAAACCCCCAAAAATAGCCTGCCTTCCCCATTCACTAGTCCACACCACCTTTCAAATATACTGCCTCCTTTTTGACCATTCACGCTTCACCACTTCCGAATGCGAACACCCCCCTAACGAGAACGTGGGCACAAGTAATTTTGCTGCACAGCAAGTGGTCTAAAGTGGTCATTTCTAAAAAATCGTGTTCCACACAAATGAACAGAGTGAACCCTCTTGCAATCGTTTCTTTTCTTTCAGCTGGCATAGTCGCTATTATCGTCTCTGTCATTTTTATCATAGGTGAGTGTTTTTTGAGTATTATGTTTACCAGCTGGATAGCCTCATTTTCCACGGTTCCTCCTATTTATTACAGTCTAAGCTCACCTTATTTCTGTGTAGTTTTCCCTTTCCTCACGGCACTGTTCCTCTCCGACATATCACGGCCGTCCAAATCCGACCCGTGCCTTCAAGGTTCTTACTGTTAGCTCGTGATGTCTTCACAATACTATTAGGTTGGAAGGAAAGTTCTGAAGCACCCCGCAGCCAAAATTTGAAATTTTGTTTTTTATATTTTGGTTGTGTTACAAATGTGCACTGCTGAAGGAGCAGCTTCTGTCCTATTTCATTCTTACTCAACATCATCTGCAGTTTATCGGATATCTTTTGTTGTATTCGGGGCTAGTCGATTCCTTTTGAAGTCGGGAAGTTTCAATAGTAGCTCTATTACCATATAGCTTGTATATAACCTTCTTTTCAGTTGCTATCTTCGCCTGTCTCGCTGCAAACGCTCTTCGTCAGCAGTATCAGTAGTGTGCGAATTGGATACAGCAGTTAACGTCGAACATCACAAATACATTGCATAAAAATGATTTTGTACGCGTCTTCTAATTGTTTGTATTGTTTTCTGCTGGTTCTTCTATATTGGACCTACACCACACTAAATTAATGAATTTTGCGTTATGGGGGGCACACACGAAAGCACAAGAAAAAATGGCTCCACAGCAGCACATATATATTGCCTGGGCTGTGAGCAGGATGTGCATATTAGAGCATTCACCGGTCCTCATCAAAAACGCACATGAAACGAGTCAATCTTATCCGTAGGGTTAAAGGAAGCGATCACGCTGGCTTCCACGCTGGATTTGCTACCCTCGCGTTATCAATCGATAAGGTGTGAGGCAGTAATTGTTGGACGAGTGTAAGCCCATGGAAGATATGATACGATGAGATAAGAAGGTGCGGCTGCTTGATAAGAGGTGCACTCCAGAATGAAAACGGGACGATAACGGTATCACGCTCTTATCGCACCCCTTTCCACATCGATAAGTCTTTGTTTTTTGCTAACCGGAAGTGTAGATTTGGCGCCTTAATCACTTCGTTGATAAGGCGCCACTGCCACTGAAACTTCACACGTGTTCTAACATTTGGGCAGGACCCCTATTTTACTCCAGTACACAGCTTTCCTTATCGTCCCCAAGAGAATTATCGTGACTACTTCCTTTAGAGTCCAACGGAGGGCTCCTTAGTACCACGGATAAGATAACAGGGAGTGCCACCCCCCAAACAGGGGTTTCACCGAGATGAAATTAAGGAATCTTCCACGGACCATGGACCAGTGGTCGGGCCGGAAAGTGGTTCTGCGACCAACTGCTGTAAGGTACGATCCAGTTAATTGGAGGTTGGGCGAAGGTGCGCTGTTCACGGTTCGTTCAGCGCCGACCGTGAATCCGTACCTACCGATGCATTTGTCACAAAAACTTCCGTCGCAGGCCCACTGGCCATGTCCGTGGACATTCCTTATTATATTAGCGCCTATTAATTCTAGAGGCCCTTGAATTCACTGCTGTGCATTCGCTCAGTGAGTTTGAATGCGATGTTTTGGCCTATTTTACTAGAATGACTTGCGGCGTGGCTCGATTTGGTAAACGATTTCAGTGTTTCCTATTCCATCGGGCAGGTTAACTTGATCTACGTTGCACCAAGTGGGCACGGCATACCCCTACGCGAACTGTCGCGGAGATCCACACGGCAAGGGTGTTGCGTGCTCTCAGAAAGCCCACGAGTCACTCGAGTCTCCGGGGCCCGAAGCTGAGTGTATAACACTCAGTGTCCTTTGACTTGTCTGGAGGATAAAAACACTGACTTGTACATCGGCTGGCCCCCGCAAGTCATTGTATAGGCCACATCGCATTCAAACAGCCACTGCGAATGTACAAATGGAAGTAGAATGCGTGCCGCATCCCAAAAAGGGATTGATCAACGGCAAATGCTTTATCCTTATCCTTGAAATTCATTGCCTTTGAAATTACTGAGAAGGTTTTAGAGATTCGAATGATGTCTAGGGCCTCAACATCCAAGTCATCAGTTTGAAAAGCTAGGCGGTCAACTTACTCACTGCATACTATGACTTTCCGAACTCTCGTCAAGTGATTTCATTTTTATGAGTGCCCACGTAGGTGTGAAGCATATAGATAGGCAGTAAAAGATCAACCAGCATGTAAGCTAGTTCAAGTTTTTTCTTTCCAAAGCGCTTGTACAGTCTACGCACTCGGCTTTCAATATTTGAAGATGATCCAAATTTGTGGCTCACAGTACATCGGACTAGCGCACAATCACGACTCAAGACATTTCCATGCTCACGTTGGTCTCCGTCGTTCCCTCTATTGAGTGTTGAGCATACTGACTGTGGTGAGAACTGAGAGAAAGAGGTGCCTGAGTTAGTCTGCAAGCGCCACTAGCGCCATCATCAAGGACTCGGGAGCAGGGTCAACCGTGCGTTGCGCAGGTTTCAAAATTTACGACCTACCCGCTCCCTTTGGAAGGTATCAGTACGACCCCCCCCCATTTTAGCTATAGGGTATTTCACATATTTTCATGTCCGTCATCATGTATAGGCCGACCGACGTGGAGAGGGAGTGGACAGTTAATCCGCGTTTTTTCTCAAAAAATGCCACGCTTAATGAAAAAAAATTATTTCTGTTACGAGGATTCAAGATCCACATTCAGCAAAATAACAAATAAAACAACATTTTTATTAAGTTCTTTAGCAGATTTTTTAATAGTGTACTTTTTAAAGTGTATGAGCACGATCACGAAATTAAGTAGGAGATTACAGTAAAACATATGTATTGATTGATCGTAAGGATCAACAAGTCATCTTAAAATTAGTATTGGACAGCATCGTGAGAATGATGTGTATTTACATACGCTCGTTCGGAGAGAAAACGCTCAATAATGGAATAGTCATAAATCACAACATTTTTATAAGTAAGGGATATAATATACATAGAAATGTTATGCAGAGAACTGTACGGGATTAACTGAAGACATAAGAGCTGAGTGACGAAGATCATAACATTGGGTAAACCACAGCAGATCATTGGAAATAATCGACAATCCTGAAACATGACTATCTGAAATAAAAGAAAATTCACTCGTAATTGCAGAGTGGGTTCTGGCAGTGCGCAGGCTCCCACGACCGTGAGCCGAGTATTCAGATTCCGGGTTCGTGAGCCTCCGGGCCAACCGGGGCTTCCATCCTTTGAGATCGGTAATTGGCACCAGACTTGCCTGGGAGGGTAAAAACATTGACTTGTACCGTCAGCCTGGCACCCGCAAGTCATTTTATAGGCCAAATCGCATTCAAAAGCCACTGCAATGTACAAATGGAAGTAGAATGCGTGCCGCATCCCAAAGAATTTATATCCGGCAATGCTCTGTCCTTTATATCCTTTCAAATCGAACGCCCATACACAGCTTCAAAGCAAGCTCCGTTTCAAATTTATTTCCCGCAACAGGGCACGTCATAGTACCTGCCACCATTCTGGGAGCTTTTCGAAGAGTTTTTCCTATTTCAACTAGCATCAGTCAGCTTCGCTTTCGAAACCAGCTTTCATCTGGCACTTAGGTCAGCTTCGCTTTCAAAAAATATTTTTGTAAATTTTCCAAAGAAGAGAATGCGGCGTACTCACGTACACACCCACTGAATTGCTATCACCTCGCCAATAATGCCCAGTTTCAAGAGCTGCTTAAAGGCAAAAGTCGGGCTCAATAAGGGGGTATTATGGCGATTGAAACTGAGTATAGAGATGCGAAGTGGAACGACAGTGGAGAAAAAACTGAGAAAAACCGTCGACAAGGCCGTTAACAAAACCCTCTTTCCCACTAGCAGTGAAGGAGGCTGGCTTGGGGAAAGAGGCACGTACAAACAAGTTTTCTGGAGATGTCAGTCGTTCTATCGGTTGATACGGCAATCAACCTAGCTGATTTCACACGTTATGCCAGCCACGCACCACTTCCGGAGGTGGGCGGTCCTGGATTGAAACCGAACGCCCCGGGGCCTTAACGGGGTTTTTCAAGGTGGGAAGTTGCTGCAATGTGTGCAGCTACCCACATACAACCTCCAGGCACGGGACCTTCTCTAGCGGCCAATCGCGCTCTCCACAACTCGTCAGTGAGCGGCCTTTGCAAAATCGGTGAGCCCCTCCCACTTTGAAGGCATTAGACGCCCTTCCAACGACTTCCAAAGGTGAGTTTTCAAACAAGTGACACTTCGTATGTACTTGACAGGGTTAGTCTTTCCCACTTCTTAGAATCGAAGCTGAAGTCCTGCTCGAGCTGTTACTTTCATAAATAGGATTGAAATGTTGAAGGCAGGGAACACGATCGCTAGAAGAGGGAGCGGTTATGATGACGTTATTAGACGTTACTGATGGACCAAATCTCCCAGAGCGCTACGGGACGGGGTAGGTGCCGCCTTCTAGCACCTAATTACACTCAATGACGTCACCAAAAACGCTACGTGCTTCAGGCATCGCTTTCACTGCCTTTCACTGTATCCACACATACCTAATTCTTATCGTTCAAGAACCGCAACTCCTCGACATTTGCGGTTGCTGGCCTCCCGGTTTCTATGACATCCGGTGCTCTGATGCCTTTCAAGAATCTCTGGAAAAAATTCATTAGAGCGGAACTTTAAGCTTTTAAATCGTGAAGGATTCCGTGTGTGAGAAGAGGTGAAAATGTCATTTTTTGTGCTCCAATTTTCTATGCTGACTGAACGTCCAACTCTCTTCAAAGTCAAAAGAGAACTAACAGAAAGCAAGTGGATTCTATCACCGAAAATCAAAAATCGTGTATGGGAAATTGAAGTGCTGGAAAAGACTTTTTAAAGAGCTGCTTCCAAAATTGGACTTTGCCCACTTAGGCCGATGTCAGACTTTGCGAATCGCGCGATTCGCGGTCGCGTTGCGGTACCAGCCAATTAAGTGATTCACTGGCCCGCGACGCGACCTCAGACGCTAGCGAATCGCGCGCGATTCGCAAAGTCTGACATCGGCCTTATGCTTCCACCAATGGCCCTTTTCCGGCAACGAAATCGTCCTCACCAGCTCCTTTCCCAGTAGCGGAGGGTCTTTTTCGTGCAAAAAAATTATTTGAAAACGTATTGCAAAACAGACCATAAAACCCAAACAAACCTCTTTAATAGTTAAGTGCTTATTTGTGAACAACAAGTAGTAGACGGCATAGCCAGGTATGACTATCATGGAACAAGATGACAAGAAGAATCCAAAGACGTTTGCCCATAAGGGATAATCTTCACCGGTCGGATACTTGAGAGGACGGTAATAAATGACGCAGAAGAAGAACAGTATCTGCAAAGACAGATAGATTTAGGAAAAGAGACGATTAAAAGGACTTCAAAACGTAACAAGATGAGAAAAGGTAAAACAGCCGTTAACGAAAAATTTAGAAGGACCCGAAAAAGAGAATTACCTACCGCACTTGTAGCAGGTGCGGCATATTTCCATATTATTATCCAAGGATAGCTGAGTTTTATACCAACCATTTCCTTAAGAGCGGCTCGTATTCTTTCAGCACCTGAATATCGAATTCGCTGAAATCTGGCTCGTCGGTTATGTCATTTCAAATGGCGCCCATGGTTCGAGAACCACATCCCGGACCGAACCTCGAAAAAAGCCAGGTCGAATGATTGGTGATGAAATCGCTTGCAAGGATAAGTAGTGATCTGCATATCATCTGATACTGAAAAGTGCCCCAGACCACGGTTGAATACCAACATGATTTTGAGTGGGACCATGTGCGTGGCACATTCTACAAAGGGATCGATCAACACTGAGTGTCTAACCTCTCACCGTTATCGACACTATTCTTGCCACAAAAGATAAAGCATATCTTCGGAGGGATTCCCCGTTAGCAGGATTCACTTGGTTCAACTTTTAAATAGCGAAAAGTTGAATGGAGTTTGATATGCCAATATAATATTAGGTTGTCTCATAAGTGATGTCGTTTTTTTTCAACCAAAAAATTTTCATCTAAATCATGAAACTTTTACATCGTTTTATATATCATTCGAAAGAGAATTGTCTGCTCTACAAAATGCTGTGTTCCGCTTCCACCGCTATTTCAGAGTTTTCGAATTTCAGGCCAGCAAAATGGGAGGTCTCGCCGGCAAAAATTGACCAAACCGACAACTGGCTGTAACTTTATTTTCCCTGGGGAGAAATCAACCAGTGATATACCCTATACTTACCCATGACCTCTTCTAAACATTCCACTCTTAGGTTGCCGAAAAAGCTTTGCCGTTTTTCTTTTCGAATTGGCTGACCGGATAAGCCATAGCAATTTTCAAATTAAAATTGTTCCTCGTAAACGTCATTGTTTCATATCGAGTGGTGTTCCTTTTGTGAGCACTTCTTCTGCTCTACTCGCTCATTTGTTTGTTGTTTATGTTTGTTAGGAATTAGTCTCGAATTTTAGGTGTTTAGGAGTAAGGTGCTTTATCCACGAAAGTGACCGCATTTCTTTGAAAAAATTATCCCTGAGAAATGAGAAAATCAACCACCAGGCGTCACATTCCTAACTTAGTCATGACTTGTTCTTCAAATTCAACCAGTTCTTCAACGTCTCGGCCATAAAAAAATTTCGACCTAGATCACAGGTAATGGTGCTCGATCGTCGAGTTCTGGTTGAAAAACCAGCTCTGGAAATTTGAACGACGCGATTTGTAGGAAAACCTAGTAGTGTAATGATTAGAAGAGGTCATGCATAAGTAGAAGGTACATCATAGATTGATTTCTTCAAGAAA